GTGTGCGTGTGTGTGTGCATTGTCCCGTAGCCTTTGGCCCAAGCGTTGGCTCAAGCCAACCTCTGGGGGTGTTCGGGGTGTTCCTCCCCCTGAGGTCAGGGCTCAAGGGCCAGCGCCTCTGGTACACACATACTAGCTCCCTTAGGTGGCTGCCCAGCCAGGAGCTAGATTTCATCCTCCACCGATCCAACGATCGCGGCATGGAAAACGACGCGCAGGACGCTGGCGCTGTAGAGGGGCATGGCAGGGACAGCTCAATCTCACAGGTGGAAGATGGCTCAGGGGATGTCGGACCCGCTACTTTATCTGATGCTCTATCGGTACCGATGGATGATCGTCCGGCAACGAGGCTGGACAAGAGGCGGACCTCCTTCCAGAGGAACATTTCCCAGCCGACCTGATTCACGAGGTACGGCAACAGATTGTCGTATGCGGCCACACTGTGGAATACAAGACAACAGGTTTGACTCCAGGGTTGATCCTGCATGTTCTGAGGCTGTGCCACAGGACACCGACAGGCGCACTGGGGGGGGGCGGTCGACACGGACGTCAGCGATGCGCGGAATCTCGTCACCTCCACCCGCAAGCATTACGAGGACACCCCACCAATAATGATGGACGGGCTTGTATGAACGCCCCAGAACGAGGCGAGATGGCATTGGCATGGAAATGTAAGATCTGCCACGGACTCACTGTGTCGGGACAGACCCAGCGCCAGGAGCAATGGGATGGACGTAGGTGCGGCGCGGCGCGCCATCCCTACTACAACAGAAGAAACCCAGGCCCATGCCTCACACGGCTCCTGCGACAGGAGCGCGACGATGCTCACAGACTGAGGGGGCCCTACCACCCATGCCCGATGGCACAGAGCTTCAAGGAATCTGGGGGTACATCCAAGAGTGCACGAATACTAAGCGCATACTCCGGCTGTGTGCGGACGCTACCGCAGTTGGAGCCCTTGCTACGCGGGCGCCACGCATGCGGCACCCGATATTACAGACGTTTTGCGCAGAACATCTCACGGAGGCATTATGCCAATTGCAGGAGGTAGACAGGGGTTGTACCGGACGCCAGAAACTAGCGACCGCAGCTTTACATCCTGCCGCCCCCCCAGATCCCGCCACGCTATCAGGCCGTGCACCCTTCTCAAGGGCCGCGCCTCTTCGCGGTGTTCACAGGAGTCTTTCGGGATCAGCATGAACCGACAAGCCTTCGAATCACCGAGGGGCGACTAAGGGCGAGCGCAAGTCATCTGGATACGGACAGGTCCGAGATACCAAGACGGGTGCTTCGGCTTGCCCGAGGAAGCGACCCTACCGATGAGCTACAGGAAAGCAGCCCATTACAGGGCATCACAAAGCCCATCATCTGTGCCAGCTGCGGGCACTGGGTACACAACCTATCCTCAGCTGGCCAGTTCGGGGGGCTAGACGGCCTGGCTGGACTTCAATCGGTGAACTTCTTTGTCGCCCCGCTGGCCTGGGCGCAGGCGCGCAGGCTCAGGCCTGACCTCAGAATCGTAGTGCTCGTCGAAAATGTCGCCAAGATGAATTCAGTACACAGGCTAGCTATGTGCACAGCGATGGGCGGATTCCCAACCGAATGGGCGGTCAAGCTCAATGCCGCAAGCGCCGTGGCGAGCCCCACGGAAAGGGTGTGGATTAGCAACTGTCCACCCGCTGAAGACACCATCACCTACCCGAGGCCCCCCCTGTCCATGGAAACACAGATGCTCCTTCAGACCAGACGGCAGGATCCCAACCTGGACTCTGTCAAGAGCACCGGCGTCGGACCTGGACTCGATTATACCCAGCAGCTACCAAACACACCTACTCTGCCTGCTATACGACGAGGGCAGCCGACACAGGTGGTTCCTTCTTTCACTGACCGACACCAAAAACGGCGTGAAGAGCATCCTGGCAGAGACCGGCGCCGAGCACTCGTTCCCAGGATGTACAGAAGGACTCACCCTGGTCATGCAAAACAGGCAGGGAAAGAGCCTGACAGCAGAGAACAAGGTCAAGGCATGGGCTGCCTGGCTCATGAGCGAAGGCCGAACACACGGACTGCGCATTCCATCGCCGGCCGAGCGCGCGCGGGCGGTTGGACTGGGAGGGTACTACATGTCTCTGGGTGTACGCGGAAGACAGGTATGACGCTGTGGGCATACACTTCGACCCGCGCTGCCTGCAACGCAGGATTGTGAGCGTCATCCTCGCCTGGAGTCGTAACGAACAGCTCCCCGGCTGGCAGCGAAGTGCCCCCAACGACGACCACATCCTGACAGCCTGGAGAGCAGCTCGCGCCTTTGCAACAACACACTGCCCGTGGGCACCACTCAGAGACTCCCCCTTCCCCGACGATGTTCTGCGGTCTCTTTAAGGACAAGGCCTCTTCCCCGCCGGTCCGTCCTTCCCCGAGACCCAGGACAAGACCTCGGGACGCTCCACGGAGCCCCGGGGTCGCCCAGAGGGCAGATCCTGGCACCTGGCGCCAGAACACGCGCCTGGCAGCTTGCCTGCACCACTCTCAACGGAGCCCTGGCTCCACACTGCAGTCGCACCTTTCGGCGCCCACGGGCCCTCTGGGCTGTGCTACAGTCGGGGCGTTGACCTGAGGAACCCTAAATAAGGAACGAGGCCCCTTTTTCCCATAAAATAAACTCCGATATTCCATGGAAAAACCTAAGGAAAACCCAAGGAGCACTGTAAAGCAACTACGGAACACGGAACCCCTCCCCAACAAAAAGGGTTCCTTCTTCAGGGCCCCGACTGTACACAACGAGCCGTGGAACAATCCCACAGGGGCCGATCTCTGCGCCGCCACTACCGCACGGGACCTCGTCCACGCCCACGCAGCGGCCAGCAACCGCGGGGCACCACGCGTGCGCTAACCAGATGACTAACACTGCCAGGATTGGCCTCCTGCAGGAGACGCACTGGTCAGAACACAAGGCCGCCGTCTGGACCACAATGCTCCCTGCCAGGACCTCGGTGGCCTCCCCAGCCTACGCTGGCCCTGGAGGGGCCTGGCAGGCGGAGTCGCCATCCTGATCCCACACGGCGCCACACTGGTCAGCTCAGACGACCTGGTCCTGGGCTGCGCCGTGTCCGCGATCCTGGAACAAAACGGACACACCTTCAGGGTAGCATCTATCTACCTTCCCCCCCCCCCCCAAGAAGGCGGAAACCATTGCGGTTATCCAGCAAGCCACCGAAACCTGGGATGATACGCCCACGATTTGGGGTGGTGACGTCAATCTCCAGATCGACTGTCCAAAAGACGGCGAGGCGGAAGATGTGGCGGCCCTCACCTGCGTGCTCAGCTGCGCGGGTTCGTCAGTCGCCCACACCGATGGCCCCACTAGGGTGGACGCCGACAGTGAATCGCAGATCGACATCATGGCCTGCCCCGACCACCACCTGGGGCTCTGCAGTGTCCGCAAAGCCTGGAAGCCATCGCTGTCCGCCCACGCTATCCTCTACCTAGAGCCGGACGGAGCAAGAAGACGCAGGCGCAGCAACACCATTCGGGCCCACGACATACGCGAACCCCCCACTGAGGCGCACGCCGACTTCAGGCAAAAGTTTGCCCACCTTGAGCGGATATTCCGCGTCCCAGACGCTGACCTCACAGGCCTGCTTCAACCAAGCGACTGGATGAGGCTGGCAGCGCCAGGCAGCTTCCCAGACCGACACCACGACAATGACGACGGGGACGGCGAGACCAGGCATGAACCACCACAACCACACGCCACCGACGCGGACGACATAACGGTTCCGCTCATCCCCGCCTTGCTGACCCTTGGACGACACGCCCTCTCCGCAGCCATCGAAGACTGGTGGCGGAAATGGAAGCGCAATAAGTCCATGCTGTCCTGTGGCGCCCTCCTGGTAGCGGCGACGCGCGCTGCCCACAGCACCACACCAGTAGGCACCTTGAATGCCTGGCTCACCGAATATGGATGGAACGGGGACGATATCACACCACAGCAAGCCGCAACCTGGCTGCGCAAGTGGGACGGCGACATCGCGCAGAGACGAGCCTCCCGACTCACACCAACACAGAGAACACTACACAACGGGGCGCGAGATTTTTGTCAAGACACACGCCATCCTCGGCGCTCGCGACGAACAGGGCGCGTGGCAAGACAGGCCAGAGGACGTGGACCGGGTGCTCTGGGGAAGTCGAAGCCACATTTGGCAGAGAGACGCCCCGCTCCCTTCCTCCGGGGAACGCATCCTGGACCGCTACTCGGAGCCGGCGGTAAACCGTCAACCTTGGTTTTGCTTTCCTC